AATATTCTATATCCTTTGTTGTCGTTTCAACAATGTTCACAGCATCTTCACCAGGAGTAGATTCCATCTCAACAAACCACTTCCTCTGCTCATCCTTAGGAAGCAACTCCCCATGCATTCCAGTTGGATCATGAGATTGCAGCAATTCAGTCACAGATGCGGGTTCCACTTCTAATCCTAGTTCTCTCGCTGTTCCCACCGCATCTGCAGTGACTTCCTCCACTGAAGCCTTGGGCCCCTCAAAGTCATCCACGAGGATTGCAATCAGCTTCTTTCAAACTCCTGTCAATATTGGTATTTTGACCTCCTCTCATGAATCACGACTGTTCTTAATGGCGTCTAGAAAGATGAATTCTTTCCAGAAGGCTTTCAGTTTACTTTGCTCAAATCCGTCAGAGGAATCACTGTTTATGGCAGCTGTAGGCTTATGAGATGTATTTCTTAAATAATAAGACTTGAAAGTCAAAATTACTTCTTGATCCATGGGCTGCAGAATGGGCGTTGTGTAGCAGGCATGAAAATAACAGTCTTCTTGTGCATCTTCATCAGAGCTCTTGGGTGACTGGGTGCATTGTCAATGAGTAGTTATAATTTGAAAGGCATCTTTTTTTCTGGGGAGTAGTTCTAAACAGGAAGCTTAAAATATTCAGTAAACCATGCTCTGAACAGAAGGGCTGTTACCCATGCTTTGTTGTTCCATTTACAGAGCACAGGCAGAGTAGATTTAGCATAATTCTTAAGGGTCCGGGATTTTTGGCATAGTAAATAAGCACTGGCTTCAACTTAAAGTCACCAGCTGCATTAGCCCCTAACAAGAGAGTCAGCCTGTCCTTTGAAGCCTTGAAGCCAGGCATTGACTTCTCTCTAGCTTTGAAAGTCCTAGACGGCATCTTCTTCCGCTAGAAGGCTGTTCTGTCTACGATGACAATTTGTTCACTGTAGCCACCGTTATCAATGATCTGAGCTAGATCTTCTGGATAACGTATTGCAGCTTCTTCATCAGCACGTGCTGCTTCATCCTGCGCTGTTCTGTTATGGAGGTGGCTTCTTTCCTTAAACCTCATGAACCAAACTCTGCTACATTCAAACTTTTTTTCTGCAGCTTCCTCACCTCTCTCAGCCTTCACAACACTGAAGGGAGTTAGGGCCGTGCTCTGGATTAGGCTTCAGCTCAAGGGAATGTTGTGGCCACGTTGTTCTTCTATCCAAACCACTCAAACTTTCTCCGTAGCAGCCACAAAGCCGTTATATTTTCTTACCATTTGTACGTTCACTGGTGCAGCACTGTTAATTTCCTTTAAGAACTTTTCTTTTGCACTCACAACGTGGCTAACTGGTGCAATAGGCTTTCAGCCCGTCTGGGCTTTTGACATGCCTTCCTCACTAAACTTAATCATTTCTAGCTTTTGATTTAAAGTGAGAGACATGTGACTCTTCCTTTCACTTGAACACTTAGAGGCCATGGTGGGGTCGTTTATTGGCCTAATCTCCATATTGTTGTGTCTCAGGAAATAGGGAGGCCTGAGGAGAGGGGGAGAGACGGGGAGTGGTTGGTCCTTCAGTGGAGCAGACAGAACACACACATTTGCTGATCAAATTCACCATCTTATATGGGCAAAGTTCATGACAGCCCAAAACAATTACAACAGTAACATCAGAGCTCACTGATCACAGATCACCGTAACAGATACAATAATAATGAAAAAGTATGCAATATTGAGAGAATTATCAAAACATGACAGAGAGACACGAAGTGAGCACGTGCTGTTGGAAAAATGGAGCCAGCACGGACTTGCTTGATACGAGGTTGCAAAAAATACAGTATCACGAAGCATAATAAAGTGAGGTCTGCATGTACCTCTAGTGAAAGTTCCAGAATTAATTTTCATTGGCTCCAGTGGATTGACAAGACCCTCTCTGAATCATCACCTTGCCAGAGTGTTTGGATGTGCTTTTTAGCCAAGCCTGGGTCACATGGCCACTGAGGAACCAGGAGGTGGGTCACATCCACTGACACTTATAGACCTAGAGTTGAGGAGAGGTGGTTTCCCAAAGGAAAACTAGGGGGCAGCTGCCAAAAACAGGAGGACAGGGGCTGGGGAAGGCTCAAAAGGCAGAAAGCCACGGCCTTCCCTGGTGCCCTGCCTTCTCCTGCTTGGTGTCTCACATTGTCATTTCTGACTCTTCAGTGACACAAACGCTACCTTAATGCTGCAGTACCCCAGCACCTGGAACTGTGAACACTAAAGATTTCCTGAATGAATGAATGAATTCATGCCGTATCCTGATGCCTTCTAATTGCAGCCTGTGGAGTTTTCTACGCAGTGCTACAAACTGGGTGGCTTAAAACAACAGAAATTTATTCTCTCACAGTTCTGGAGGCTAGAAGTCCAAACTCGAGGTGACAGCAGGGTCACGTGCCCTCTGAAGGTCCTAGAAAAGAATCTTTTCTTGCCTCTTCCAGCTACTGGTGGTTGCTGGCAACCCGCGACATTCCTTGGCTTGCAGCTCCAATACTCCAATCTCTGCCTCCGTGGTGACTTGGATTCGTTCTCCCTGTGTGCCTCTGTGTCCAAACTTTTGTCTTCTTATAAGGACACCACTGGCCCACCCTAATCCAGCATGGCTTTGTCTTAACTTGATGGTGTCTGCAAGATCCTGTTTCCATATGAGAATACATTCACAGGAGTTAGGACTTGAACAAATCTTTTTTAGAGACACGGTTCTATAACAGCCCCTTTGCATCTACATTAAGATTGCCTAAAAGATGCAGCAGTAACAAACATATCCCAAAACTGCACTGGTTTATTATGTAAAAGTTTGTTTTTCACCTACAAAGTCAGCAGTGGGGCTGGCTGCTTTCATTTTATTCCTCTGCCAGATCAACACGGGGACCCCAGGGTTGCCATGGCAGGGGAAGAGAGATTGAAAGGGGTGCACAGGGGCTCTGGGGTGTATCTCATGTGCTGATCAAGTTCATTATCATTAGATACCGTCCGCTCTGCCCTAGTCCTTTGGGACTTAGTCTTTGCTGGGCACTGCCATTGGTCTGCCAGGCACTGATGCCTCTCTCTCACTGCCTGCTGCTTCTGCAGCTACTGACATCTCTAAATGGGTGCCAAGCAGCATCTACCCTGGACACCGATGCTCTTGGAATGCCAAAACTACAGAGTGTGAGAAGAGGTGCAGTCAAAGCTGCCTTCTGCCAGAGAAGCCCCAAAGCCATGTTATTTAGGCCCCAACGACTTTTCAAACAAGGTTAAAACTCAAATCAGGCGAGTGACATCAATGAGCAAAACTGAGTGACGTGAGTCACACGCAAGGCAATAGAGAGGGGTGAGAACTGCGGCAAACCAAAGCACATGCCTCATCTGAAGGGGGCGGCCACTACTTAGCTTCACCTAATTATTGCCACTCGGGAACTGGCACCCAGTATTGTCAGATCTTTGGGCATTTTTTAAAAGAAAACCAGAAAGTCAGATTTTTACATGAAGTTTCCCAAATTTCAACATGCTGTTCAGGCTGGATTCAGCCCACAGGCCACGAGTTTGCAAACCCTGCTTTAGTGAGAAAACTTTTTCCATTTTCTCTCCCAGCTCTCGGCTCCCCAACTTGGCATTCTGTCTGTCCGCGGGACGTGGACCTGGGCCAAAGGGGGCTGGGCCAGGAGGCAATCCCCCTCCCCTACTGATCTCAGACCGGCCCTCCCCAAATCGGCCAAGGCTTCTCACTGGGTCAGGCTGATGGGCCCAGCCCCCTCCTGAGGGACAAGGGCCTTGGCAGGGGTTTCTTTTTGGCTTGGTTTTGGCAGGCCGGCGGCCGTTGCTTGCCGGGCAGCCCGTTCTTTTCCGGAGGCCCCTTGGGCCCCACCTTGCAGGGGTTTTTCGGGCCTTTAGGGGCAGGCGGGGCTTCTTCCTTTTGCCTCCAAGGCCCTCCACAGGCAGACTGCTGTGGACTCTTTCCGCCCTTGACCTTGCTCCTCAAACCATCCCTGCCGACCCCCAGTCCCGTCCCCTCTTCCCAGGATGGTCCTTGCAGACCCATCCAGCCCCATCTCCTCACCTGGGGACCCACCTTTTTCCCACAGAAGGAACGTCCTTCTCCAGCGCATCTTGCTGTTTTTCATCTCTGGACCTTTGTGTATGTTGTTCCCTAGATTGTGCTTGAAACATCCCCCCCTCCACTCCCACCCAGCACTCCCACCTCTTTAGCTCTTCAGGTCTCAGCTCAGAAGTCACTTCCTCCAGGAAGCCTCCCCTGACTGTCTTGGCTAGTTTGGGGTCTGAGGTCAGGCACTCCCACAGCCTGCTGAAGGTCCCCATCACAGCTTCTCCCCTCCTTAACTGTCTTTCCAGAGAGAGGGAGGAGACATTCCTCGGGGGCTGAGACCACGACTGCTCTGCTCCCCAAAGTGTACCTAGCATCTAGTGTTATGCCCAAGGCTGAGTTAACGCTCACATATTTGGGGAAGAAAGGAGGGAAGGAAGCACGCCGGGACCCTCCATGTTATGTTTCCATCCTTGTCTTTCCATCTCTCTTCGTCTTACCCTCTCTCTGTCTCCATCTCTGAACATCTAAAATCTCTGTCTCTGACCATCTAACAATGGCTCTGACCATCTGCTCCTGACCATCCCTTCCTGTTGGTCCCTGACCCCAGGGAGTGCAGGGGGTCCTAGGCCCGGGGCAGGGCATCCCTCCAAATAGCTCTGATCTCCCAATGTCAAGGGCCTGGAGTCACAGGGCCAGATGTCTTCCAAAAGGGGGCCCTTAGGCAGTGCGCCGGGATCGCGAGTGGGGGAAGTGGGGTTCAGAGGTCGCTCCCTGGCGGTGGACGCAGAGGCCCGGGGTAGCCGGCGGCGGGGAAAAGAACCAGAGAAAGGAAAAATGAGGAGAAAAGAGGGGGAGGGCGAGTAGGGGGTGGGGCCAAGAAGGGCGGGCCTGAGCGCGCCCCCTCTCCCTCCCCCGTCCTCGCCGCCAGAGCCCTCCCCGCCCAGCCGGCCACATCTGGCGGCTGCCCGCCCTTGTTTCCGCTGCATCCAGACTTCCTCCGGCGGTGGCTGGAGGCTGCGCATCTGGGGCTTTAAACATACAAAGGGATCGCCGGGACCTGCGAGGGCAGGCGGCGCGGCGCGGGCTGAAGCGCGGGGGCCGGACCATGAGCCGCTGAGCCCGGCGCAGCCCAGGTGACGGAGCGGGCGGCCCCTGAGCGCGGCGCGGCGGAGCAGGCGCCAAGCAGGCGGCGACGCGGCCGGGAGCGCTGAGCCAGCGACCCCCGGGCGACGCGCGGGGCCCGGGAGCGCTACGATGGAGGCGCGAGCGGCCCGGGGCGCGCTCGCCGGTCCCCTGCGGGCGCTTTGCATCCTGAGCTGCTTGTTGGGCCGCGCCGCCACCGCGCCGTCGCCCATCATCAAGTTCCCCGGCGATGTGGCCCCCAAAACGGACAAAGAGTTGGCTGTGGTGAGTTGCTCCGCTGGCCTCAACAGCCAAGTTTAGACAGACTTCGGAGGCACAGAATGGGGGCCTCCCTCGGCCCTCCGCAGTGGGCACACATCGTGGGGGAGGAGCTTAACGGCTTGGGGGACCTTAGGCTAGCTGTTGGAGGGCTCTCTTGCAAACGGTGGGGAAGCTTTGGTGAGTGGAGAAGACCTGCGATAAACAATCTGGCAACCTGCAGGACACGGCAGGGGGCGAGAGACAGGAGGGGGAAGGGGAGGGGGGTGCTTTGGCAAACTGATGGAAAGGGCCTTTTTGTGAATAAAGGGGTCCTTGTCTAGTTTATCTGGGGGATCTGGCAATGGGGGATGGCTTCGTAAACAACTTCTGGTCACATCTGGGGATTTGGCAACAGGGCCCCTGGCAAGCGTCTTGGTAGGCCTTTGGCGAACAGCTAAAGGGGTCTTTCTTTTTTTTGCAAATGGGGAACTTTGGGAAGGGGTTCTTTGGTGCACAATTTGTGTAAACTTTTGCACGCCTGAGAATGGGAGGGAGCCCTGGCCAAAGCGGGGCTTGGCAAACTTCTGGGAACGTTTGGCACACATCTGGAGAGGGGCCTCAGATAAACAGCTTGAGGGGACCGTTTGCTAAGTAATCGGAGCTGGAGGGAAGCAGAGAGCGCATCTTTTCCTTCTGGCTTAAGGGCCAGGAGGGTCAAGGGTTGGGCCTCTGAAAGTTTCCTCGAACTTCAGAAGGAGAGGACTGACCAGGCGAGCGGGAGGAGGGAGAGGGAGGAGGGAGAGGCCGGCGCAGGAGGGCCCCTGGCGCGTGGGGCGGGGGCGGACTGCGCCCTGCTCTGGTCGGAGAGCAGCCAGCGAGCCCTCCTTCCTGGCGGGGCTCCTGAGCTGAGGCTCAGATCTTGTTTTGCTAGCATGAGCGCGCCTGGCTCAAGGGGCACCCTTGCCACAGCGCTACTTAAGCGGGGACTGAGGAGGGGACAGCTGAAAGACTTTACCCCTCACCCTGTAAGCGCCTCGGGCTGGGGACCCCTTAGGATGTCCTCTCCAGCCCATAGAACATCTGTTGCCTCAGCCACCCTGGCCTCCATCCAGCCTCCTCCCCAACCTGTCCAGGGCAGGACTCCCATGCTCTCTGGTCACCCTCTATGACGTGACACCAACCCTCTCTCCCCCAGACCCCATCCTTTTCCAGCATAGATAGGTGGGTTGGGAGACCTCCTTACATTTTTAAAGGGCTACTTTTTTCAAGGGTCTGAAAGTGACTTGCAATGATGTTGGTTGGCGGGTAATGACAAAGCTGCTTGGGTCCCCATCCCCATACCTTCTCCAGCCAACCGAAGTCCATGCTGCCCAGAAGTAATGTCATAGGGGCTTGATGGCTTTGGACTTGCACCCCCTGGCTTCACATCAAGGCCTGCATGCACTAACGGACTGGCCTAGTAATCTTGGGCAAGTGACTTAACTTCTCAGTTTCTTCATCTGCAAACTGGAAATAATAATGGCGTCTATCTCCAGGTTAAAGGGGAGGTCATCTAAGAGGCTTGCCTGGCACGGGGTAAGCACTCAGTAAGCATTAGCCATCATTACGATCATATTACTATTGTTGTACCCTCTGTTTCGTCTTTCCTAACTGCCCCCAACAAGGTTAGGGCCACTGTCATGAGATCTGGCTCCTTTCACCATCATAGCATTTATCACACATTTAATTCTGCATTTATTTGTGATTTATCAGCCTCCCGGCACTGTGATTTGAACCTTAGAGACAAAACTGTCTATCTCGTTTACCGATTTATCCCCAGCAGTAGCATGGAGCTTGGCACATGGTAGGTGTCAGAAAGTATTCGTTGAATAAAATAAGTAAGCTGGTTGGTCCCTGAAGCTCTGTAGAGGCCTGTTCGGTTTTGGCCTGAGTTTGGGCAGAGCCAGTCATATAGCCCCTGAAGGACAAGACCATTTTCTTTTTGGAAATAGCAGATTCAGGATTTGAACACAGGTCTGTCTGCTTCCAGAGCTCCCGCACATAGCTCTTGAATCTCTTTATAAGAAAAAGAGAGGGAAATAATCCATAAGTCACCAGCTGTTAGGTGGATAAATGAGACGTCGGAACTGAAGGAAGGGTGCTCGAGTGTCACGGCTCCTAGCGTGGGCTCTGGAACCGGATTGCTTGGTCTCAAATCCAGATCTGCCGTTTGTGACCTGTGTGATCTTATAGGCAAGTTTCTTAACCTATCTGTGCTTTAGTTTCTGCCTCTGTATGATGGGGATAATATGTCTATGTTATAAAGTTGTCTGCATGAAATGAGTTAACAGATACTGACTTCAGTGCCTGAGCATGTAGTCAGCACCCAGCACCAACATGTATGTAGTAGCCATGCTCTCTACAGCTATTAGGTCACTCAACTACTGTGTGACAGCACTGGTTTGGGAACCCAGGCCTCCACCCAGTGCTCTTGGGTCCCTGGAATGCATCCTGTCTGGACTGTGGGGCTGGACTGGGTCCCTGCAGCCTGCTTGAGTGGATACGATGCCATCCTAACATGGCTGCTTGCCTTGGGCGCTCGTTTCTTCCAGCAATACCTGAACACCTTCTACGGCTGCCCCAAGGAGAGTTGCAACCTGTTTGTGCTGAAGGACACGCTAAAGAAGATGCAGAAATTCTTTGGGTTGCCACAGACAGGTGAACTTGACCAGAGCACCATCGAGACCATGCGGAAGCCGCGCTGTGGCAACCCAGATGTGGCCAACTACAACTTCTTCCCCCGCAAGCCCAAGTGGGACAAGAACCAGATCTCATACAGGTGCCAAGGCAGGGCTGGGGGAGGCCGGGCCATTGAGCTGAGGGACACGAAGTCTCCTTGGGCCTTGTCTTCTTCCCACTCAGGGGACCCATGAGGTATCTTTTGTGAGCTCTTGGCATCTTAGGGAGTTTGGGTACAAAGTTCTTAGGAAATAGAATCAGACAGACCTGAACTTGAGTCTCGCACTTACTAGCTGTGAGGCGCCGGCCTACTTTTCAGTGCTGTGAGTATTGGCTTTCCAGTCTACGAAATGGGGCTGAAAAGACCCTTCCTCATTGGGGAGGTTGGGGAGCTAAGCTAGACTGCACTTATTTAAAGGGCTTCTACAGTGTCTGACACATAGCAAGAGTGTAATAAATGTTAGTCATCATAATGTTAGATGCGGTCATTGGGGCAGGCAGAGGGAACTTGATGATTGGCTGCTAATTGGGCTCTTATATCATAATTGGTTGCTAATTGGGCTGAGAGCTCTGCTCTGTATGTCTGGTGTTGGATTCCAAGGGTGAGATCTTTGTCCTATGTCCCATATGCACTATTTATGTCCCTACCCTGCCAACCAGAAGTGAGAGATGGGACTCCTGAGATAGGGCTTGAAAAGGTTGACTGGTCTGGAACTCCAGGGGACCTCAAGGCATTCTGGGCGAGCCTGTTCTTGGCAGTGCTCCCTGCTCAGTGTGCACAGGCGTACACATATGCACGTGCGTTTGCACTCCTCACATGCTTATGCACACGCTTGCATGTTCGTGCGTGTACACACACATTTGCACATATCCATGTACACTCACGTACACACGCTCGCACCCATGCCCACGCACTCACATGCATTTCTACCACCTCCAGGATCATTGGGTACACGCCGGATCTGGACCCAGAGACGGTGGATGATGCCTTCGCTCGTGCCTTCCGAGTCTGGAGTGACGTGACCCCACTGCGGTTTTCTCGCATCCATGATGGAGAGGCTGACATCATGATCAACTTTGGCCGCTGGGGTAGGCAGCAGAGGGGCTGGCAGGGGGTCACTGCAGAGACAGGGGCTGATATGGACCTCGAGAGAGAGGCGCGGGGTCCTGCGGGCAGCTTAGATAGCAGAACAGAAGGTGTAGACACCGGAGGTGGTTTAGATGGGGAGCAGACACTGGAGAGCCGTGTTAATGCGGGGGCAGGCAGTGTGCTGTGGTGTAACCTGGAGGCGCCGTCTACCTAAAGTACGTAGTCTGCTGGACCGTCCAATGCGGCAGCCACTAGGTACACATAGCTATTTAAATTTAAATTAGTTAAAACCAAAAGACAATTAAAATTCAGGTTTTTGGGTACAATGGCCACATTTCAAATGCTCAGTAGCCACACGAGGCTAGTGGCTATTGGATTGGATGGCACAGAGGAAGACTATTCCTATTGTCACAGAAAGTCTTGTTGGATGATGCTGGCAGACGCTGAGGAACTGTAGATAGGAGAGTGGATCAGGCTCAATGGAGCAGTGTAGACATGAGAGTAAGTGTGAAAGAACCACGGTCAAGATGGCCACACAAGTTGGGAGTGTGAACACTGGCAGTAGCACAGACACGAAGGTAGGTAGTGTAGACACTGCGTGGTTTAGGGTTGAGGGTAAAGGGCGCAGGCACAGGAAACAGTGTAGACGTTGGGTGGGTGGTGTGGACCTTGGTGGCAAAGTAGGCCTGAGGGTTAGTGCTTTAGATATTGATGATAGCATGACCTGAAGGTAGGGTATGGTCAAGAGGTCAGTGATGACAGGAGGGTAGATGGTACAGTGGGGACAGTGAGTGTAAGGGGTGAGGACACTGGTGTGGGTATGTGGACAGGTATAGTGTCATGCTGGTAGTGTAGACAGCGAAGGGAGGTGGTATAGGTACCGGGGGCCAAGCAGACTTGAGAAAGCAGTGTAGACCATAGGATGGTGACAACCAGGCCAGCAAACCTCTACTGAGTCCCTGTGTTCCTGGATAACCCCAATGGGATGGGAAAGGGGACAGAGGCTGGGAGGTCTAAAGGGCTCCACACATGGATTGAGGTGTTGGATGGGTTTCAGGGTGCAGGCTGGGGCAGCTAGAAGCTGAGACCCAGTGTGTGTTTCAGAGCACGGAGACGGATACCCCTTTGATGGTAAAGACGGGCTCCTGGCCCACGCCTTCGCCCCGGGCACTGGCGTCGGGGGAGACTCTCACTTTGATGATGATGAGCTGTGGACCCTGGGAGAAGGGCAAGGTACGAAAGGGACCCTGTGCATGCCCCAGACCTCCTCTCCAGCCCTCTGCATACCTCCTTGTCCCCTAGCAACAAGGGCTGTGGCTTCCATGACAACCCTGGGAAGCTCCATCTGCTCCATCTACTTGGACCAGGGAGATGGGAGGGGAAGGGAAGTCATGCGCCTCGGTGAGTCAGAATCCTGGCCTCCAAAGAAAGGCCTGGAGAGGTCGAACCTCCACTCTCTGCTGCCCTCAGTGGTCCGAGTGAAGTACGGGAATGCCGATGGGGAGTACTGCAAGTTCCCCTTCCTGTTCAACGGCAAGGAGTACACCAGCTGCACCGACACGGGCCGCAGCGACGGCTTCCTCTGGTGTTCCACCACCTACAACTTCGAGAAGGACGGCAAGTACGGCTTCTGCCCCCACGAAGGTGAGCATCGCCCTGGCCCCGGGCTTGTCCCCTCAGCCCTCCCGCTTCCGCTGCTGCCTGCTACGCCCCTCCCTCCACCCTCCACACTCCCCAGGACTGGCGCTGCCAGGCACCCAGCGTCCCCCCAAAGCCCTATCCTCCAACCAAGACTGGGGGTTCAAGGGCATGAGCAGAGGCTTGGGGATGGGTGGAAAGCCCAGACGGGGAGGCAGGACACAGACCAAGGCTGGACCCCACCCTGGCCTGAGGCTGCCAACCCAGGAATTTCAGCCACTGCGCCTGCCTGGTCCTCATGCTAACCCGGCTCATGAGTGTGCGTGTGTGTCTGGTCATGGGGCTTATGCCATCTGCCTCTCTTGGGCTCTTTCTCTTCCTCCACTCTGCCTCGCTAGTGTTTGCATCTCTGTGTCTTGACAAGGACATTAGGCTTGACTTAATATTTGTGTGTGTGTGCTTGTCAGTGCTCGAGACATAAAATTTTCAGAGATTTTGAAACCACGTAACGTTTTAAAAAGGGGTAATGGGTAAGGGTATTGACATATTCAATCCTTTTTTAAAAATATCACTTCATAATCATAAATCACAAAAAGACAGTATTGTAACTTCATACTCAATCAAGTCGTTATATCTGATAGTTCTGGAAATTGAAAGCCCAGAAAATTGGGGAAAATAGGAGCAAAATCTAATTTCTAAATCCTACCTTCTTCCCCATCCCATGAAGACTCTTTAGTCTACATCAAGACTGTGTCTTTTGGGCTGTAATTTTACATGTTTTTGAATCTTTCTGGCCCCATTGCAACAGAACGCTGAGCACCAACCATCTAGACAGAAGGAGAGAAACAAAGAGCCAGTTAAGTGTCTTCCTGTTTATGCTTTTATTACCAAAGCTAAACTTGATATGAAGCAAGAGTTCGAGCCATTCACCATTAATAAGTCAGAAAGTTTTAAGTACAAATATTTTCTGTATCTTACATTTCCCAGTAGGGATTCAGGTGACGTTAACCCCTCCATGTGTCAACCCTCTGGTTGGAACAGAATGCCTCGATAACAGAAGTGGAAACAACTGTATTTCATAAGTTTGGGAAGGGTTTTTCCCTGCATTGGACGTTAGCCCTTTTCTTGGTGTTCAGCCAGGTGCAAATACGCACAACATGCACGTGTTTAGGTCTCGGGGCAGAGGTTCTTGTTACTCAGCCCCTGCTGACTGCTGAGTCAGTGTCTGATTCTTGCCATCCTTGTTGTGGGCTGCTCGGGAAGACACAGGGGCTTCCTGGGTGGCAGAAGTGCAGTTGATGGGAGGCCAGGGGCAGGAGGCTGGCGTCGGTCAAGGTTAACACTTTGCCTTTCCCCACTCTGAGGCCACTGAGGTATCTGGGCTCAGTTTTGCCCCTTTCTTAGGTCCCATTGTTTCTGGCATTGCAGACAAGGTCTCTTGGTTGGGGGAGGGGGAAGGAAGTAGTAAGGATGTGGGGCCCCGAGTCCTCTGCAGTGGGAGGCCAGGGACTGGGCCCCATTCTGGCCACGGTGGAGTTAATGGGGGCTGGTGAGGTCACCTCTGGCGCTGTTGTGCACAGATGGTCCTTGTTACGCACTTGTGGTTTTGCTAGTTGGCAATTCCAGAGACACACCATTTTGTAGCTTCGGGGTGGATGAGGGGATGGGGGAGCAGGGGGGAAACCCAGGACAGACAAGCCAGACTCTGAACCCCATGCTCTCCCCAGCCCTCTGGTCATGGCCCAGTCTTGGGGAGCTCAGAGTGGGAACCTGGAGTGTGTATTAGAAGGTTCCCGGAGACACTACCTCCCCCTCCCTCCCTCCTTTTCTCTCCTCCTCTCCCCGCTGCAGGGACTGCAGCAAGGCCATCTGGGAAAGGGCCTGGGTTGAAAAGAGGTGAAGCTTTCCTCTCCGTGCACGCGTGTGCGTGTGCACGTGTGTGTGTTTGAGAGTGACATAGAGAGTGAGTGAGAGAGAGAGACCCGAGACAGTGTGTTCTGTGGTTTTCAGTTACAGCCCTCAGCCACGTCTTTTGTGACCATGAGCAGTTCCAGAACCAGCTTTCTCCAAGCCTCCGTGTCCTTATCTGTCAAATGGAGAAAGACTCTTGCAGTTCTGTCTACCACGGATGACATATGTAGCAATCTCCACGGAGTGGGGCATGGACCAGGCAGAGTGGACAGCGGTCCTGGGGTGGGGGCAGGGTTCTGGAGGTCCCTGCTGTGTGCCAGGTGTTAACCATTTCCTTGCTGGGGATCCATAAGGTCCCGGGGGAGGGACCGGGTTGCCCAGGGAGACAGGGGTACTCTCTGGGATCTCAGAGAGGCGGTTCTCTACCAACCGGTACGAGAGAGTTTGTAATATTTAAACAACACAGCGGCCTCACTGGTGCGAACCAGCCGGTGGGCGGCCAGCCAGCGCTATGCCCAGGCAGGTGTCTCTCTCTCATCTGCATCCTCCCCTCTCTCCGCACCCCAGCCCTGTTCACCATGGGTGGCAACGCCGATGGACAGCCCTGCAAGTTCCCGTTCCGCTTCCAGGGTACGTCCTACGACGGCTGCACCACCGAGGGCCGCACGGACGGCTACCGCTGGTGCGGCACCACGGAGGACTATGACCGCGACAAGAAGTACGGCTTCTGCCCGGAGACCGGTGGGTGTCACTGCCTCTCCTTGCCAGGGTCCAGCGACCTGCTGTCTAATAGAAAACCCACCAGATGCCCCTTCTCCCGGGACAGGGGTGGTACTCAGGGTACTTACCAGCCGGTCCGGCCTGGGCGCTGACATCAGAGCAGACACTGGGCACCAACAGCCAGTTCTGCGGAATTGGCGGCGCCTAAATGTCAGGCCTGCCCAGGACCCTCTGACTGACCTGCACCCCTTTTCTCTCCGCCTCGCTGACTAGTGTTTCTCTCTCCCCCATCTGACCTTGCAATCTCTCTTTCCTGCCCTTCCTAGTCTGTGTCTCCGCCGTTTGGTCTCTGTTTCTCATTAAGAGCTCCCTCCCTCCTCCCTCCCTCCCTCCCTCCTTTCCATCCCTCCCTCCTTTCTTACTTCCCTTCCTCCAACATGTATTTACCGAGTGATGCTTTGTGCAACAGACACAGAGACTGGTCTCCCCTAGATCTGCCTGTTGGGGCTCCCAGTCGAGGGGGGTGTGCTGGTACCACCAGCTCTGCCCAGCCCCCCTTGCCTCTGGCCCTGCTGCCCATCCATGGGAGGCTAATTATAGCTCTGATGTGGCTGCCTGGGGCTGAATCTCAGCTCGGATGCTTCCTGGCAGCATGGGCTCAGGCGAGTCGCTTCATCTCCTCGAGCTCCAGTGTTCCCATCCATGAAATGGGGGTAACATTTGCTCCCTACTGCACAGGGTTGTTTGGGGGTGGGCTGAAGGTGTATACAGCACTTGATACAGTGCCTGGGACTGAGCGAGTCCTCGGTAAGTGTGATTTGTTAATGTCGCATCATGGCATTGTTTCCTGGGGGTGGCCTTCGCGGCCCCTTGACCCATGTCCCTGACCCCACAGCCATGTCCACTGTTGGCGGGAACTCGGAAGGCTCCCCCTGTGTCTTCCCCTTCACCTTCCTGGGCAACAAGTATGAGAGCTGCACCAGCGCCGGCCGCAGCGATGGAAAGATGTGGTGTGCGACCACGGCCAGCTATGACGATGACCGCAAGTGGGGCTTCTGCCCCGACCAAGGTATGAGGCCCTGGCCATTGGGCAGAGATACCAGACATCACCCCCACCCCTAAACCCGGGCTGGAAACCTTCCTGAGACCCCACCCACCTCAAGCATAGACACTGCCCCTCAGACACTCATCTACCCCGGTGTAGACACTGCACCTCCTCCCAGTCCCGCCTACCTGGGCCGAGATGATGCCCATCCAGGTGGAGACACAGCCTTCAAAACCAGACCCTGTTCACCCAGTAGCCACCTCCTGGGTGGAAATCGACTCTCCTGAGGACACACTGCTCTTCCCTCCCTCCTTAGCCACCCTCCAGGCACGGCTGTTACTACTAAAAAAAAGTCTGAATTCTGGGCACAGGTTACTCTGCCCGGGAGAGATGATTCTCCTAAGAGACATCCTCACTCCAGCAGAGATGGCTTCAGGGAGCTGGTGGGCAGTGATGAGAGGAGAAAAGGAGTAGCCTCCTGCTTGCTCTGACCCCACAGTCCACGCAGCCTGGGGAGCCCCCAGAGCCCTGCCTGCCCCATCGGCACCATCCTCTGCCGAGGTGTACGTGGCGGGTCCTTGTCGGCACTGGTTGCTGAGGACACAGCCAGCTGGGATAGCTCTCTGCCCTCCAGGACTCCTGGGCTGAGGGAGGAGAGTGACCCCGAGATAGCCCGCGACCTTACTGGGTGGTCAGTGCAGAGAGCAGGATGCAGAATGTGCCTATTCTAGTCTTCAGGGTCCAGGGGCATCGGGCTCAAAGCTCCCTGCTGGCCCGTGCTGGCAGGTGAGTGGGCTGGTGCAGGGCCTGCCAGAACTAGGTCGGCCTCTCCTTATGTTACTTTCATTGTTTTTACTCACAATGAGATGGTACTCGGGTGGCCAGGGGAGATTTCCTTATCCCCTGCTAAATTCTGTGCCGGGACATGTCGTGATTTATCCTGCTCTCTCCAGCCTTCTACCTGCAGGTAAATTCCCATCTGCCTGAGTGGTTCAAGGCCCCAGAGCCCAGGGGCTCACCTGGGGTGAATATCAGTTTCCTAGGGCTGCCACGACAAAGTGCCACAAACCGGTGGCTTAAAGCAACACAAATTTATTCTTTCTTGCTTCTGGAGGCTAGAAGTCTAAAATCAAGGTATCAGTAGAGCCATGTTGCCTCTGAAGGCTGCGTCACTCCTGTCTCTGCCTGTATCGTGACATGGCCTTCTCCCCTCCGGGTCTGTGTCTCTCTGTGTCCTTCCTCTTCTTATAAGGACACGAGCCATGTTGGATTAAGAGCCCACTCTACTCCAATATGATCTCATTTTAAATATATCTGCAAAGACCCTATTTCCAAATAAGGTCACGTTCACAGGTCCCCAGGGTTAGGACTTGAAAAAAATCTTTTGTCGGAGCGACACATTCAACCCACAAGAGGGTGCGACGTAGGGTTTGCTCACTGTCTGTGGCTGAGCCTGGGTGACCACTCCAAGTGGGAACGGTTTCTACTGCTTTCCCTGGGACAGAAATGCTGGCGCCAGGGGGCCACCTTTCCCTACCCTCTTACCTCTTCAGAGACCCCAAAGGACAGGTTTTGCTCCTGGTCTTTATAGATAAACACAAAAAGCCAGGAAGCACTATTTTTCACAAATGGGACTTCGAGTATTTGCAGATGTCACTTGTCCTCCTCCTTTACAGCACACCTGCAGCTATCTCGGAAAGGGACAAGAGGACTTTGGTTGACCCCACCTGGAAGCAATAGGCGTAGTGTATAATCCCAGAATTTCCAGAGATGGAAAACTCGATACGGGCCCCTTCCAGGGCGCTCAGCCCCACTGTGGGGACATCCTCAAAAGTCTCCATCACTGGGCCAGGTCCTGACTCCCCTGTTTTCTCTCTCCCTGTCTTTCCTCCCCCCTCCCCTCCCTGCGGCCCTCAGGGTACAGCCTGTTCCTCGTGGCAGCCCATGAGTTTGGCCACGCCATGGGGCTGGAGCACTCCGAGGACCCCGGGGCCCTGATGGCGCCCATTTACACCTACACCAAGAACTTCCGCCTGTCCCACGATGACATCAAGGGTATTCAGGAGCTCTACGGTAAATCTCAGCTTGGGGCCTCTGGGTGGGGTCTGGGAGGCCCTGCAGCCTGGGATAGAGGCCCAGGGGGTGGAGCCAACACCGTCCCAGCTATCCAGGACTGCCAGGGACAAGGACAGTGCAGGAAGCAGCAGTGTGGACCTGGTCCTAGGGAGTTGGAGCAGTGCTCCGCGGGGACACTGGGGTAACCCTTTCTTTCCAAACAACACTAGCATCATGCCCCTCCCGGCCCCCGTCTCTAGAGCTCTGCATTTTCTAGGTGAATAAACTGAGTCCTGAGAAAGGTAACCTTTCTGGCCCGGTTTAAGCAGCCAAGTGGGATTTAGAGTCTCGAAGAGTTAGCTAAGGACAGGGCAGAATTTTCCATCATTTGGAATGACCGTAATGATACGAGGGTGAAAGTTTCTAGCTTTCATAATGTGTTTTCATTTTAAAATGTAATAGGAACATAACAACTAGTGCCAAAAACCAAGGTTTTATCATTAGTGCTTACAGTGAAGCTAGAGTTTAAAAAGTCAGTCCATTTTTTAAGAAAAAATTAAATATTTGATGGTTCTGGTGGTACCTGGACCAGACCAAAGTAGTGCAAGTGGTGGCTGAGTGATGACGTTTTAGGAACTCTGGACTCGGGAAAGAACCCTGGATCTGGGCTGAGAGGTGCTGGGTTCGGGTGTAGCCTCTGCCACGCACCAGCTACAAGAGATTGAGTGAGCCTTTGCCTATCGGGACTCAGTTTCCTCATCTCTAAAAGGTGGCTGGTAACATGGGGAGTGAAGGAATTAATCCTTGAGAAAGTGCTGCATCCCTGGTGCTGGACACTCGACCACCCTGGGTGTAAGAATCTGAGCTTTGGATTTGAATCCTCAACCTTTCTGGGCCTCAGTTTCCTCATCTGTAAAATGGGTGTAATTATGCTACCCGCCCCCCCCCCCCAGGGATACAGAGAGGGCTGATGTGGCTGATGTCAGTAAAGAGCGTGTAGAAAGTGCAAAGGGCTACAGGATTCTGGTTTCTCTCCGAGTCCAGGCACCTTCTCTTTGTCCTAATGGGCTTACGCTACGGCCAGAATGCTATTCCTTCAGACCCTTAGCAGGGTGGGTGGGCAGCCCAGTGGGTTCAGCCTGGTGGGGGGAACCCCTGGAATTGGGGAGAGTCTGAGGTTTGTTGTCCTCCCCCAGGGGCCTCCCCTGACACTGACACTGACGCTGGGACTGGCCCCACCCCCACGCTGGGACCTGTCACTCCCGAGATCTGCAAACAGGACATTGTCTTTGACGGCATCGCTCAGATCCGTGGTGAGATCTTCTTCTTCAAGGACCGGTGAGTGCAGGAGCTTGCTTCTTTCCTGCTTGCCCCGTCCTCTGCCCTTTCCTCGTTATTCTTGTGCCCCCACCCCTGGCTGAGGGCCCCCCCTGGGGGTTCACAGCGTGACCCGTATTAGACAGTTTTTGCTGTGCAGCAGACAACCTCCGGATCTCAGTGGCTTAGCCCTCAAGCATTTCATTTGCTCCTTCATAGTCTGTGGGCCTACTAGGTGTCTCGGGTCCTGGCTGCAGTCTGGGTTCAGGTACGCTCCGCATGTCACTCTTTTCCCTGGGAATAGTGGCTACTCGTGGCAGATGACAGGGTGCGAGAGGCCGAATCAAACCACACGAACACATTTAAAGCCTCCACTCACGGGGTCAATCCTGACACCTACCCTAGACGAGGGGACTGCAAAGTCACATGGCAGCACACACGGATGTATCATTCTAAAATAGGGATGGAGGGAAGAATTGGGAACAATAACTCAGTCTACCGCAGGTCTTCTGTGGCCTGTGGCCTTAAATGGCCAAATTGCTCTTTGTATGGGTAGCGAGTGACCACTGGGTAGAAAAAGGCAGTATCCTTCGTGCTATAGATAAAGGCCCCCACTCAGTTGACCAAGGGCTGAGACTCACCCTAATTCCAGAGCCCCCTGGAGAATGGCAGGCAGTATCTAGGACCTCATTGAAGGATTCATCCATGTGTCTATCATCCATCTATCCACGTATCATGACATCCATCCTTTTATTATTCCTCCATCCATCCACTCATCAATTCATCCACCATCCATCCATCCACCCATCCATTATCCATTATCCATCCCTCATCCAATTATCCTTTCATCCATTTATAGTGTAGTAGTTGAGAAAATTGACTTTGGAGTCAGAGTGCCTGGGTTACGATTCTGGACCTGCTGCTTAATGTATACCTGATCATAGGCAAGTTAATTAAGTATCTTCTTTGTACCTTGGTTTCTTCATCTATAAAATGGGGCTAATATTCCCACCAACTTCACAGGGCTGTTGTAAGGATTGGGTGAATTTAGTGCTTAGAACAATGCCTGACACAATGAGTGTATTCAATCATATTAGCTATTATTATTGACAGATAATTATTTGGGATCTCCTGTGCCAAATACTTTGCTAGGCTTTAATAGGTGGGGGAGCGAGGCAGAGGGGCCGCTTAATGTCTAGATCAGGGTTCTCAAAGACAGGCACCCGGGCCTTCTACACCAGAACCACCTACAGCAGCGGTCCCCAACCTTTTTGGCACCAGGGCTCCGTTTGTTTCATGGAAGACAACTACTCTATGGATGGTTGGGGGGATGATGTGGGGAAGATTCAAGTGCATTACATCTATTGTGCAGTCAAACCTCTCTGCTAGTGATAATCTGTGTTTGCAGCCGCTCCCCAGCGCTAGCATCACCGCCTCAGCTCCACCTCCGATCATCAGGCATTGGATTCTCATAGGGAACACAACCTAGATCCCTCACATGCACAGTTTGTATAGGGTTCGCGCTCCTATGCGAATCTCATGCCCCTGCTGATCTGACAGGAGGTGGAGCTTATGCAGTGATTCAAGCCGCTTACCTCCTGCTGTGCGGCCCGGTTCCTAACAGGCCACGGACCAGTACCCGTCCGCAGCCCAGGGGTTGAAGACTGCAGACCTAGAGTGTGGATATTAAAAGTGTGGGTTTCTGCCCCCAGCCCCAGGTCCTCCGACTGGAATTTCTAGAGGTGGGCCCCAGGAATCTGCATTTTAGCAAATTCGTCCAGTGATTTTGATGGACATTAAAGTCTGTGCATCGCCAGTCTTGTTTGGGAAACAGAGGCAGAGAAAACCGAGAGTAACGCATGGTAGAATGAAAGAAATGTAACCACAGAGGCATCAGCGAGATGCTTTTGTGGGCACATCCCAGTCAAGGAAGGCTTCACAGATGAGGCAGCATCTGAGCAGAGGCTTCTTAAGGGAGAAACAAGATTCTGGTGGACAGTGATGGGGTGACGGCGGGGAGGTAGGATGTTTAAGGCAGGGGGAACTGCAAAGCCAAACCACGGAGATGTGAAAGTTCCTGGCTTAGGCAGGGAGGAACAGAGAGCATGGTGAGATTAGAAGATGTTCCAGAAACTTTCAGGAAGGGCTTTCTCTGCTCTGGACACTGGGCCAGGTGCTGGGGTGCAGGCTCCCTGCCCTTTGCAGGGTCTGCTGGCCGGGAGGGAGATGGCAAGAATGCACTGAGAGATGGGAATCAGAGTGCAATGCGAAGTCCAGTCCCAGCAGGCCCCGAATGCCCAGGCCAGGATGCGGAACAGCAGATAGCAGTGCTGCCCTGCAGCCCCTGTCACAGGGGTCCCCAATGTCCTTTCCCTGGGGCATTTCCCACTCAGGAAGCCCTGACCAGATCTGAGACACATGAGCCTAGGAGAGGGTTCAGAGGCCTAGACTGGAGCCATCCCTGGCCTGCCATATCACAGGTTCTTTCAAAAGGAAGCTACTGAGTGTTTAGTGGAATCATTGAATTAATCAGTAAATATTTAAGCACCGGTCATGTATAAAAATTGGTGCTAGCACTGGGGGAACAAGAAGGATAGTCTTGCAGGGTGATTAAACTCAGACTTTGGAGTCAGATCTGGATTTGAGTCTTAGGGGTAACAAATTTACTTAGGAATTTACTTAGTAATAACTAAGTCATTACATCTTTACCTCTCTGAGCTTCACTTGCCAAATAAAGATTGTGATACCCTCCTGTATCAGGTTTTGCTGTAAATAACAGAGACACCCTGCCCCCGACACCAAACTCACCCCAGCTTAAACAGTGGGGAAAAATTACTCTCACGTGGTACAAAGTCCAGGGGTAGGGCTGCCTGCAGGGACAGAGAGAGGGTTAGTGACTTGATGTCTTTGTCCACTGCCACCCTCTGCACTGACTTCATCTCAAGGCTGGGTGCCCTCATGGTTACAAAATGGCTGCCAGTGGCACTTTGGGGCTACAATCCCTGCCCACATCCAGGAAGAGAGAGAAAGACACACACACACACACACACACACACACACACACACACACACACATCTCCAGATGTACAAGTCTATCTAAGTCTATCTAATATAGACTTAGACAAGTCTGTATGCATAATTTTATCATGCCAGTGTAAATCATATGGCAACTACTGAATCAATAATAGTTGACAGGGAGCGCTAAGCTCTGACTGGCTTAGACCAGTAGTTCTCAAACTTCAGCATGCATTAGAATCATCTGGAAGGCTTGTTAAAACACAGATTCTGGCCCCAAGCCCAGAGTCTGATCTGTAGATCTCAGAAAGGACCCAGTAATTTGCATTTCTAACGAGGCCCAGGTGACGCTGAGGCTGCTGGTCTGGGGACCACACTTTGAGGACCAGTGGCTTAGACTAATCAGTACCTACCCTGTCATGGGGCTTGGGGACACAGGGTGGGGGAGGTGAAGGATGGGTCATAAATGTGGAGTTCTGGGAGGAAGGATAATAAGGAAATAGATAACAGATGCTGGGTAGACTGCCAGGAGTACATGTTATCTTATGCTATTGGGAGAATTGAATAACAAGGCACATAAAGTGCTTGGCACTCAGTAGGCCCTCAACAAGTGATAGCTCTTACTCTTGCCAGTGTGCACAGATCCATTCCAATTCAGGAAATGCTTCTGAGTGCCATCGGCCCCTGCCTCAATTGGCGTCTGGTTAAATAGGAGAGGTAAGACAAACACACACACACTACTGTTCCGGGCACTCAGCGTTGATGGCCTGGAGAGGCTTAGAGGAGGGAGAACACAGTATGGACAGAGGTCGACAGGGAAGGCTTCCTGGAGGCAGAGGGGGAGGGAAAGGGAGCTGGGTGCATCTTGCAGAGGGGACCTCTGCCCATTCTCCAGTCCTCCTCCAGCCTTCCTTTGATCTTGCCTCCCCCTCTGATCATGGAATCATCTCTGGGATGATTCTGGGTGGGCTTGGGAGGCACATGTGGCCAGAGCTGCAAGCTGCAGAGAGACTGAAAGGTGTGGTTTCCTGTGTCCCCTGCCCTCCCCCAGGTTCATTTGGCGGACAGTGACGCCACGTGACAAGCCCATGGGGCCCCTGCTGGTGGCCACATTCTGGCCTGAGCTCCCGGAAAAGATCGATGCTGTGTATGAGGCCCCACAGGAGGAGAAGGCTGTGTTCTTTGCAGGTGTGTGGGAAGGGTCCTGCCTCGGCCCCCGCTCCCCGGGGCCCCGTAACAGGGCTCCCGCGGGGCCCACGCTCACTCCCCTCCCAAACCACAGTTCCTGTGCAGCTGTGGGTGCTCCCTCTCCTTTATGCATCCATTCCTGCAACGTCATCCCAAAGAGTGGGATTCCACCGCGACATGGGTTCAGACACCCAACGTCAAATAGCGTTAAGTCGCAGAATGCATATTCCATTTTCTTCTAATTCTTTTTCAATCCTTCCAATTCCTTTTCTAGAAGAAAAAAAAAA